ACAAAAGGTTTAGGCAATCGATTCGTAGCCTTTCACTTTCGAGAACGCAAGAAAAGATTGCAGTCGCGACTATAAAGTTAGCCAGCAATCTCCCTCACCAGCAGAGCTAGAACGTCACTATTTCAAGATTGTGCCCTATCACGACCACAAACTCCGAGACCCTGTCGACAAACTTTTCTGTTTTCCAGAACTCTATAAATTTGGGTCTCCTCCCCTTGTGTAGAATGGCTTTTGGCAGATTTTTTATTCTAGAGTGAGATTAGAGAGAAGTAGAAGGATGAAGAAGAAGGGGAGAAGAAGAAGTGGATGAGAGTTTTGGAGGAGGATTTTCCAGCATACGAAGACCTTCTTTCTAATTTATTCCCCTCTATTAATGTCCCTTCCCTCTGCCCCTTCATGGAGTAGTTCCTCAAGATACTTTGGGGCTTAGTTCCCCAAACACTAACCTAGGGTTTGATATGTAATTGGATATTTTGGCTTGATTTATGGTTGAATTGTGTTTGCCTAGAGTTTTATGCTCCATCTATGAATATTATGCTTTGGATTTTTCTCTCCATGTGTTATCTATGATTGGCTAGTTAAGCTTTGATCTATGATATGTGTGGATTGAACGGTCTTGGCATGATAGGGTTGGATGGTTGATCTATGAGTCTAGTATGGTGGACGAGGTGATCGTACCTCTGCCTATTAGGCGTCCACCTAAGCAATGCTTGGACGTCAAGTAGGTAACCATCGACTTAACGACCTAGTTTGCGGATGGGTAAAACCCATTTAGAGGAGATAGGTTATATCCTTGCATGAAGAAGCTAGTTGAAGTGACATTGGGTTAGTGGATCGGTATAGGAGGGGATTGGTTGCATGACCATTGAGTCAATCCCCATATTAGTGATCTACTCACCTCAATTACCATGGATCATCCTACTATCCGTTTGCATGTTATCTCCACCGATTAGGTCGAGGGAGAAACCTTAAGTACCTCTTCTCTCCTATCGTCCACTCGTTCATTAATGTCTAATTGTCCACCTTCTAAGTAAAAGGTTGAATAGATAACAACCGAGTGTTGACCGAGTTACTTTACTACATCACTATCATTGTTATACTTGGCATTGTTAGGATAGAAGTGACTGTGCATCGTACATTTTAAAATGAATATGAGGGATGTGTTCTATGGCCTCCCACAATCAGTTACTCATATAGTGAGGTATGTGTTCTATGGTTCTTTAAAATGAATGTGGAAGTTTAGGTGATGATGACACTTTATTTATAGTGTTTGTCACTCCCATCCTTGATATATTTTTCCCATTCGATCAAATCATTTTTAGTCATTTATCTAGTATTTCTTAACTAAATCATAATGATTTGATCAATGAGTCTTGAATAGACCAAGGTTATTTTTTGTACTCTTTGAAGCCTTCTTGGTATGTTTTGATGGTTTTGAAGGCATAAAGCAGTCTAAGGAAGTTTGGATCAAGCATTGAAGAACATTGGAGGACCAAAGAAGCTATAAAGATAAGACTATATAGTTTTTGTGATAAAGATGAGGTCTAATGATGGAGAAGTTTAGTAGAAGTTGCTATATGAGCACAAGACAAGCCTAATAGAGGAAGACTTGGGAAAGGTGAAGAAAATACCAGCGGCGGCCCAACATCGGGTACACCGCCCCTAGAGGAAACCTGGTTAAGATGCACCCAAATCATGAGTAGAGGTCATTCGTGGGTCAAGCATCCCCGCCTATGAAGCAAAGGAAGACGGTCCCAACTGCGGGCCTACTGTCACTTAAAGCCTAATATTCTTGAAGTTTTGTTCAAGAAGTTACGCAGTCTACTAGGACTAGGAAACCCTTTTCTAGTCAGCTTAGAAGATTTTTAGCCGAGTTATTCCCCTATAAATAGAGCGCATGGATCATTAGTTCATTAAGGCTACACAAACACACAAAAACTTATGTACTCTGCTTGAGTTAGAGCTTAGCTTTCGTAGAAGAGTCTACAACTAAGGAGATGTTGTCATAATCCATGGTGGTACCATCCTTCTCTTCTATGTAGCTAGTTCGAAATAGTTTGTAAGAGTATATGAAGTCGTTTATCTTTAAGTGAAAGTGAATGAATGTTATGATTTCATGTCATGCTTGTATTTATCTTCATGAATTTTTATGCTCATTGTGTATGCATGGATGCCTAGTTTTCGATGACTATGTGATGATCATTGTTGTTTATATAGTATGAATACTTCTTTATCATCATTGTTTATGATTTTATGTTATGCTACTATATGCATTTTGCTTGGTATAATATATTTTGTCAATAAATTACCTTATAGTGATACCGCATTTATGCGATCAACCATCTATATCTTGAGTAGTATCAATGATTGATTGTTTGATCATCGATGCTATATACCATAAATAATGGCTCTTAGAGGCCCACAATCTTGTGCTATCCTCACTTCCTTGTCCTTTATTAATTAGGTGATGGCATGAAACAAAAGCATGCATTAACTAGTTATATCTCTATCGCAAGAGCGCACGCACAGGTAACGAGTTGCCTTAGTTGAAGGGATAGGGTGATACCATAGATGAACCATTGATGCATGATGTGAATGAGCCCTAGTATGCATAAGTTATTCAAATTTTTCCTTCCTCTAGAATAATGTATCTTTACTTTTATGCATCTTTAAATCTAAAAACCCCTAAATAACTTTCATATTCATCGCTTGTTAGTTAGATGAAAATCGCTAAATGTTTCTCTATAGTTTTCGTGTGATTCTTGGATGATTTGTTTGGAGTATTAATGCATTAGAAGACCTCTTCGAATATCCTAGGCACATCTAGGATTATCACTTGTATTTCTGATATCAAGTTTTTGGCGGCATTGTCTTTGGTTTTCAATCATATATGAAAGCATCTAACCATCTTATGTTGAGTTTTGATTTTGTTTTTTTTTTTTGTAGGTTGTCATAAGAATCCATTAAGTACTAGAAGAAAAACCAAAAGCTTAAAGATCGTATAAGAGATCGTCCAAGAAGGAGGAGCACCGAGTTCACCCATCTTGAAGGCGAAGGAAGGAGCATCTAGCTCAAGAGAAGAAGATTCCTAAAGCCCCACCAATTTCTAGCCAAGCTTGGTAGAGCAAGAAAACTTTGATTTCGAGAGAAACCGAGCATCTTCAACTTCTTCAACACCGTCAATGGCTGGAGAAGAAGAACAAAGAAAAGTGATTATTACATGTAATCTTTATGAGTACTCAAGACCAAGAGCATTCAACATCACTTTAAGCATTGCTGCGTCACCAACGACATAGAGATACGAACCCAAATCATTCAAATGGCGCAACAAGCATAGGGATTTGGAGGAAGGAATGATGATGATCTGGTGCAACACATGAAGACATTCTTGGAGATTGTCAATTCCATATCAGGAGATGATGCTACCAAAGATGGAATTCAACTATGACTTTTCCCATTCTCTTTTGGAGGAGGAGAAAAGTACTGGCTCGACTACCATCCACTAGTACCTTCACCACATGGGAGACCCTTTCTTAAGCATTTATCATGGAGTACTTTCCACCATGGAAGACGAAGGAGCTTAAAGCGAGATTACTTAATTTCAACATAAGGAAAGAGAGACTTCATATGATGCTTCGAGGAGATTCCACAAGTATATCAAGGCATGCTCCCACCATCATGGATTGACGACAAAGTAGATTGCAAAGTACTTTGCCAAAGTCATTGAATCAAGGAGCCCAACCCATGAAGAAAAAAGGATGGTGGTCCCAACCGTCGCCCTACAATCGCTCAAACCCTAATCTTTTAGAATCTTTGTTCAAGAAGTTATGTAGTCTACAAGGACTAAAAAACCCCTTTCCTAGTCGGTTTAGGAGATTTTTAGTCAAATTCTTCCCCTGTAAATAGCGGGCAGGGCTCACTAGTTCATTAAGGCTGCACAAACACACAATTTTTTTTTTGCATTATGGTCGAGTAAGAGCTTAGCTTACATAGGAGAGTTTTCAGATAAGGAGATGATGTCATCATCGATGGTAGTACCCACCTTCTCTTCTATGTAGCTAGTTTGAAATTAATTGTATGAGGAAGTGAACTTGTTTATCTTTATGTGAATGAATACTATGATTTTATGTCATATTTGTTTTTATCTTTATGAATTTCAATGCACATTGTGTGTGCATGGATGTCTAGTTTTTTATGACTGTGATGATCATTTTTTATATAGTATGAATGCTTCTTTATCATCATTGCTATTTGCATTGTGCTTAGTATCATCTAGTTTGTCATCAAATTACCTTCTATTGATACCCCGTTGATGCTACACGAGTATATAGGGAATAATCAACCATCTATACATCGAGTAGTATCAATGCTTGATTATTGAATCATCGATGTTATAGACCATCAATTATGGCTCACAGAGGCCCACACATAATCATGTGTTATCCTAACTTCCTTGTTCTTAACTAATTAGGTGATGATATGAAACTAAAGCAAGCATTAGCTAGTTAAATCTCTATTGCAAGAGGCATGCACGGGTAGAGAGTGACCTTAGTGGAAGCGATAGGGTGTTAACATAGATGAACCATTGATGCATGATGTGAATGAGCCCTAGTATGCATGAAGTTATTCGAAGTTTGCCTTCCTCTACAATAATGTATATTTACTTTTATGCATCTTTCAATCTAAATCCCCCTAAACAAATTTACTATCCTTTGCATGTTAGTTAGATGAAAATCCCTAAATGTTTCTCAACAGTTTCTGTGCGAGTCTTTGATGGTTTTGTGTGAGTAGTTATGCTTTAGAAGGCCTTGTGGAATATGACCCTAGGCACATCTAGGATTTTCATTTGTGTTTCTAACATCGGGTACCTCCAGGTTTGAAGTTCCCCTTGGTTTTACAAATCAAACTAAAAAGACAACAACAGAAAAGCAAACTTGTTCTATTGATGGATGAGGAAAACAAAAGTGGAAGGCGTTGCATAAGCTAGCTCCCCATAGAGTTCCTTTAGAATCGCTTTGTTATGACATTGGTCATACATAGTCATGATTGAGAGAATCCACAATGGATGTCTCCACTCACTGTGCTCCTATTTTATCCACCTTCTGCTCATGATAGTGATAATAGTGGGTTCCATGCTTAGCAAGGCACATGGGATAGTCAGCATTCAGATTGCATATGTCAATGCAATAATGTTGCTTCTAGACATGTATTGCATTTGAAAATAAGGTATATCGTCCTAATATAGACGATTAAACTCTACAAACAAAATGAGGCAAATTAAAAGAAATACAACATATATATATATATATATATATATATATATATATATATATATATGGTGCCTTCTACGGTACCCCGGGTGAAATCTGGGGTATCGCATACCTTGAGTATGAAAACGCTATCTAGACCTCGAATTAGCAGGATTTTTGGGCATGATACTATACCCTAACCCTTAATGAGTGAACCATAGGTCCTAATCATCTAAATCATAAACTAAAAACCCTAAGATGGTGTATTACTTTTTTTTGCCTATATTTGGACGAATCATAACCGTTGATTATTGTTTCTAATTAAATTGTTCTTGGGGTATAAGATTTAGAGAATTAAGACCTAGATTTTGATCTTTATGGGTTAGAGTATAGTATAATGTCCGAAAGATCAGTCAATTCAAGTTCTAGATAGCGTTTTCTTACTTAAGGTATGCGGTACCCCGGATTTCACCCGGGGTACCGTAGAACTCCCCATATATATATATATATATATATATATATATATATATATATCACCAAGAATTGCAAGGATTGATACTAGTAGCATATGAGTTGTTTGATTCATGTAGGGCTTAATCTTACCATATTTGTGGCACTTACCTAGACTAATAAGCTACAGTGGCGACCTTATGGATTTCTGCCCTTGGTCCGCATAAATGCTACTGCCCCGTGCGGGTGTTATCAATCGTTTCCACGACTTATCTAACTAATCCATCCTGAGCCAAGTGCAACTCAAAATGGCATTGCTAGTATAGTGAATACAAAGGTCGTATTCCATAGGTTTTGATACCCTAGCTTACTTCTCACTTTGTTTTTATCTAGTCAACCGGTTTAGGTTTTGGGTTGAAGATTGATTGAAAGATACTTGTGGGAAAAAGGAAAGATAAAATCAAGGTACTTTGGGGTAACACCTTCGCTCTACACTAGTTTCATCGTATAAATGGCTAACTATGTTGGGTTTATTGGATAGGATGTTGAACATGCTAATATGGGATTTCGATGACTACTCTCCCTCCTCCTAACAAAGCCCATAAAGGCCCAATGTCACCTCATTCTAAGTTTACGTGCTAGGGTTGCTCCCATAGTTCCTCTCAATAGGTTTAACCTATCATGTATAGTAGAGACGTGTTACAATCAAAATGCGTGCGCTTCTCTAGCATTATTTTAGGAAGCATTCTTATAGCAGGGGTTTGGTCGCCACCTCCACTAAGGAACCCTAAAATCATTCATCTAGTCTTAATATGCTGCCAGTTGGAGCTACCTAGTCTAACCCTAAAACTCCTACCTAGTGTAACTCAATTGTAGGCTAGTAGGGAAGAGTTGGGAGACTTTCCCAAGCACAATTAAGCATCAATGAAGCATACATTCACTAAAACAAACATATCCATTCACAAACCCTGACACTATTACATCTACATTCAAAACCTAAATCTAGGTTTTGGGGGGTTGAACCCCTAGTACCTTAGAGAACTACCCCATAAAGGGGGAAGAAGATACATGGAAGTAAATAGAAGAAGCCTTGATGTGGGAGAGCTCGCTTCCTTCTTCCCCTCCTCTTCTCATTCCTTCAGCTTCTCTCTCTAACTTTCTCTCTCATAAATATGAAATCTTCAATCAATTTAAGCTCCCAAATGTAAGGGGAGGAGCCCCCTATTTATTGATTTCCAGGATCTAGGCAAGTTCATGGTCATTGGGGAAGAGTTTGCGGCCACGATCTGGGAAGGTAAGGTCGCAAGCTTGAGCTTGTTGTTTTGTGCTTTGGCCTTGGGAAGTTCGTGGCACAAGTTCATGTATGTGATTCGTGATTTGTGCCAGGGATCTTCTTCGTGAGCTCGGATGAAGAAGTTCATGAATCGACTATCATGACTTTCTGCTCCTTCCTTATTGGTTGCTCCAAAGTTCGCGCCCGAGGCCTCCATGTTTGAGGTCGTCATCGTCGCCCTGAAGGCTACGATCCTCAGCTTCATGTCCTCTATTCTCGGCCATGATCTTTCATGCTCTGGCCGTGATCTTTGGATTTCTACCATTTCTCTACACTTGTACACATTTTTGTACCTAAAACATTCATATCATCCAATACACTCTAATATGCTAATATTTTCTCCAATGAACAAATAAGAGGTATATTGGAAGATATATTAACCATGAAGAACACAAAATGACTCGAAGCAACCCTAAATATGGGCTCTAAATAACACCATTTTAGGTGTTATCATCCTTGAAGAAGTCAAAGCAGTTCACCTAATAGATAACCGATTGTGAAGGATTCATCTTAGCCCGACCACTTCCCATCCTGTACTCCACATTGGGTTGTCACACATGTCGGGTACAAATGACAGCTTTGAGCTCTCATGAATCCCCTAAAAATTACTTTGGACCTTGGCATCCGATTCCTTAAGGAGGAAAGATACTTGGGGGATGGTAAGTAGTAATAGATGGTCGGGATGCGATCCAGTTATCCGATCCCCAAACATATCCTCAAAGGGCACTCCAAATATGTGAGGATTGGTTGCTTCTCACATGAGAACCTCATTTTCAAAAGATTTTTCTCTCTTTTCTTTCTTTTCTAATACACACAAATTTTTCAAAGCTTCAAGTTCACAAAACAAACAAAAGAGAATCCCGCACACATGATCTTCAAAAAATAGCAAACATTATCGACTCAGAAAAGATGAAGAAGATAGTAAAATCTCTCATACGCCAGTACTCTAATCATGAAACTCTCACCTAGCGAGCACAATACATCAATCATCTATCAAATCAAGTCATATCGAGTAGGGAGTTGCAAAGAACAAGGAGATTTGGAACCCTCAAATTTGAAATTTTTGGGTAATGCATCCAACATTCCAAAACACTATCATTTGACCATTAATCACCACAACAAAAACATAATCGCTAGCATACACTCCATACGCATTCATCAACGTCTTACATTCATAAACAAGGGAGGATATAACAATTCATGGTTCAATAAATCATGATAATCATTCAAACATTCACACACATCCCCCCCACACTTGAGCAACACATTGTTCACTATGAGAGAGTTTCATAAGAGAAGATCATGAAGGTTACCATAGGTTGGATTGTGGGTTATTGAAGGTAAACAAGTGTAGGTCTTTGTCTTTCTGGTGGTTTTCACAACGATAAAGCGCATTAGAAAGAGAGGAAGACGATTAAGAGTTATGGGTACGATAGATATATAATATAAGTATGAATCCTACTAGAGCTAGAATATTTAAAGTGTGAAAAGTAAAACGAAAATAAAGCAATAAATAAACATTTTTTTAATTCATTGCATCTGGTAACCATAGATGAAGAGGAAATTGTGATGATTTAGCAATTGGACCAAAAAATAATAGGAAGGAACAAAAATTAACAAATACAAGATTAACCTCATTATTCAAATTATTGATTATTTCAAAAAAATCGCGAAATTCGAAAAAGCAAAGAAAAAGAAAATATAGAACTTAGGCCTTGGATGCTTAATACTCAATCCTCCTCAGAGGGTCCTTCTTCTTCTTCTTGGAATGGTGCAAGGGGAGTGGAGCGATCAAGTTGGGGCGATACAACTTCGATCGGAATGTCCATCTTCATAATAGCATGGATGCACACCATGATGTGGATCCGCGGGTAGAGGCACCTCTCCTCCCTCATATATGCACTCCACTTGATCTTCCTCAGTTGCAAGTCCTCTTAGTTCCCTCGCCACCTTAGCTTCTGCTAGACGGAACACGGTACCCTCCATGTCCAACGTATTAGTGGTTGGAAATGGAACTCCCCATACTCCCCAAATGCCATCATCATTCATATGTAGAACTTTGATTTTTTAATTTAAAACTTCAAAGGATATAGGAGTGATCTGACTATCCAACAGAAATTGCACGACCCCGAAGTCGACACGGAAATACTTGGCTAGACGAGTGACAAAAACTCCTCCATGAAGGGCGGAGATTTGATAGTCCATTTATAACTCTTGAATATTTACAAAATAGCCAAACCGAGATGAAGAAATCCAGGTAGTTGCATACTATGGAAGAAGGTTACATCTCGGGCAGTCAAATTGCCTTTGCTTTGGTTCTTTTCACCCATGGACCTAGTAATCACGTGGTGGATGAGCCGTCACTCCGGTTTCACCTCACTAGCTTTTGATAGCTTGACATCCCACGGTAGACTGATGGATCTCTTGACTTCGGATTCACAGAAGGACTTGAAACATGGGAAGTCAGATTCCCTTGTCAAGGTAGCAAATGCTTCCGGTGAGTCACGAAATCCGTCGGGTAAATATCCATGGCTCTTGCAAATTTCTGGATCGATAGTTGGTGATGCTCTCCTCCTAGTTGGAATTTGATGTTGTCTTCAAGGTCAGTGGCACCTCTTATATCTTTAATGGTAAGAGTGCTAATGAACTTCAGAACAAGTACGTGATAAATGTTTTCTTGAATGGATAGCAAATTAAGCCATTCCGACTTCTGAATCTTGGACCGAATTGTATCCTCAATCCCAAGTTGTGCAAAGAGTATCCAGTTGAGATATGTACTCTAGACTAGAGGAAGTTCTTGAAGCCATAGAAGTTTGGTCTGAAATTGGTCGGGGACATGTTCCAAGAAGTAGTGAGTGATGTGCTCTATGTCGCCTCCAATATTTGATTGATTATCTTGGTGAATTTCCCTTGATATATGTGGGAGAAGTGATGGTGGATGTGGTTCTTCAAAAACTACCTCCTTTGGACGGGATTTTCTTGTCTTCTTCCAATGGCCTTGTCGAGGGTGAGAGGTATGAAAGGAGGAGCTCTCACCACGAGTCATTCCCTTCGTCTTGTATATTATCCTTCAAAACAACTAGTACACAATGCACAAATCATGGAGTCTTTAGGATGGAGTCTTTAGGATGCCTCATCCAGTGCTTGAAATAGGAAAGATTCATCCAAAGGTTGATGTACATGATTGAAGGAACCAAACTCCCTTGTACTTGTATCATCATCCGTGAATGGCTTATATCATTCCCCAAATTCTTCATTTTCGAGTATAAAAGCAAGGTTGTTTTTAGCATCCCGTCCTCTTTCCTTGGGGTATCTCTCTTCAAAGATGAATCTCTTAAATTTACTTCTATGATCATTAGTTTGATGAGAAACTTTTGGCAATTCTTGAGTATCCCTTTTGACAGAAAAATTTTTCTTACCTGGTCTCTTTATAATCTTGAAAAAATCACTCAAACCATCAACTCTACTATCATGGGGGTCAACATGAGCGACCATTAGGGCTGGAGGTCGTTCAGTTTTGATTTAACCAAAAACTCGATTATTGATTAGCCTAACCATCTCCCAGCCCTCCCGACAACTAATCCAAAAGAGGCTCACGACCAACCAATCGGTCAGTTTTTCGGTTTTAGGCTCGGTTAACCGCATACCCAAAAAATACCCCTTCTCTCTAAAAAATACCCCTTCCTCCACCACACAATCCTTATCTCCTTCCTTCATCCATTCAGATCCACTGCACAATATTATCTCCATCCTCCATTTCACACCCACCACAAAATCCTTATCTACTTCCTTCTCTCTCCTTTCTTCCTCCATTTCAGCTCTCGAGTCTCAACCCTGGAGTGGAGAAAGCCGACCAACTTGGACGCCTGGAGACAACGACCAATCACGGAGGCACATCTGGGGGGTTAGCGATGTGGAGAAGCGGCGAAGGCTGGACTCAGTGAGTTGCCGACGACCTAATGCGTGGAAGAGGACGCATGGGTCAACCATAGGGGGTCGCAGGGGTCGCCAGATTCGTGAGGGTCGCAGCGATCGCCGTATTCGCGGGGGTCGCGGAGGGCAAGGCCGTTGGGGGTCGAGGAAAGCAGCATCGTGCAGGGGTCGATGGAGGAGCAACGCCACATGGGGTTGCCGAGTCATGGCCCGAGGTCTGGGTCGGTGAGGAAGGGGGACGGCGGGGGAACTGGGAACAGGAGAAGGTCGTCTCATCTCATTGAAGCCCAAAGGGTTAGGAGGGGGGAGGCAGACAGGATTGGTGAATGGTGAGACGTCGATGAATGAGGAAACAAGGTTGGCGAATGGTGAGAGGTCTATGAAGTAGGATACATTATCATTTTGGTGCAGGCAAATACTGGGTTGGTGGAACAGACGTCGGTTACTTTGGTTAGCTGGCTAACCGGCTTCAGTTATTCAACTAGCCGAAGTAACCATTTTCTTTACCGAACACCGACTGAGCACCCTGGCGATCAGTTTTCGATTAGCCGCTAACCGGTGGTTATCTGTTATACCAACCGGTTAGACGTTAACCAAAAGTCGGTCGGCCACCCCTAGTGACCATATTGAACCATTCTATCTCGGGGCTTGAAGGCGGTGTGATAGGAGGTGTGATCGGCTCACAATCCATCTTGACATCTTCCAAATTGAAGTAATTGTGCAAATTGGGTCTTCTTATAGCTTATCTCTCCTTCTCCAAAGCTTAAGGTGATCTTACTCCCACTCACATCAATGATAGCCATTGTCGTGGCGAAGAATGGTCGGCCTAGGACAATTGATGAATCACACCCTTTTGTGTCGAGGACCACGAAGTCCACATGATAAACAAAATGGGCACACTTCACCAGAACATTCTCTATGACTCCTCTTGGCTCGACAACGAACCTATTGACCAACTCAATCCGCATCTTAGTAGGTATGAGTGGTCCAAGGTCTAATTCATTGTATATTCTTGTAGGCATAATGTTGATACTAGACAAATCCGCTAACGGATTCCAATTTTTTTTGACTCCGAAGGTACATGGGATAGTGAAGATTCACACATCTCTTAATTTGGGAGGGAATCCATCACATCCGATGGATGCCAAAGAAACTTCACTAACGGATACCATAGCTACTTCTTCCATTTTCCTCTTTCTCGACAATATTTCTTGGTATATTTATGAACCTTCATCACCATATCTAAGAAAGGGACTGTTACCTTCAATTTCTTAAAGTTTTCCTTCCATGGAGCACATTTATGATAGAGATCACTTTCGAATAACCGTCTAGGATATGGAGCTTTTGGTGTTGGATCGGGTGCTTGAATCTTCTTAGTATTCTCTTCATCTTCAATCTTGATTTCAATAGGAGTTTGCAATTCTTCCCGAACTAACTCTTCTTCTTGAATGACTTCACGTTGAACTTCTCTTACCGGTATCTCCAGTGTTGAGATAGGAACCTCCATCAAAGTTCGGCCACTCCTTAGAGTTACCGCATGACATCCCTCATTAGGATAAGGTTCGGTATTACACGGTAGAGTTCCTTGTGTCTCGATGATAGAGTTTGCGCCAAAGAGCTTAGTTGGGCTTCAAGATTTTGAAGTGAAGCTTGTTGATTCCTTTGACCCGCTTCCAAACTTGAGAATTTGGTCATGGTACTCTCTAAGAAATTGTCAATAGCTTCAAACTTCTTGTTGAAGTGTGTAATGAATTGACCTACCAAGTCTTCAAGTTTAGAGACTCTACCATCGAAGGGTCGAATTTTTTCTTGATATGCCCCATGGTATGAGGGTTGACTCAGTCTTGGATAAGTATTTTTCATAGGAGCTTGAGATTGAAACCGCGGAGGGTTTCTATCTGTCGGAGAAGACCAAAGAAAGTTAGGATGGTTACTCCAACCAAGATTATATGTTGAGCTATAGGGATTGTTTCCTCGTGGTTCTTCTCCAACAAATCTGGCTTGCTCAAATTGTAGTGAGGCCTTAATCATAGACTTACAGTCCTCCATAGTATGACTTGCATCGCCACACCAATCACATTTCATAATTTGCTTTCCATTGCCTTTCATTGATGATGCAACTTGATCAATTTTCTTGGTAAGTTCTTGTATATGAACCGCTAACGATGAAGGTTCTTCAATCTTCAATAAACTTCCCTTCTTCACACTCTTGCCTATCCTTTCGTCTCCCCATTCGTAGCAATTAAGAGCCATTTCTTCAATTAATCTTTGAAGTTCATCGACTTACCATCGACTTCCTTGTTCCTTATGGCACCTCCACTAGCCGCATCGATGAGGAGGCGTGATTCCCTTGTTAAACCATTCTAAAAGCTTTCCACTTGTAACCAATCGGTGATGCCATGGTATGGACATTTGCGTAGGAGAGATGTAAACCTTTCCCATGCTTCAAACAATGGCTCATCTTCCTCTTGACGGAAC